TGGCGCTTTGCAGCTTACGGTGATATATTTCCCGATGCGAGGAAATATCCGAAGTGAACTTCGCTCAGTAAGATTTGGGGAGAAGGCGGGATCCCAGTTTTGGCGTAGGTTGTTGACTTGCCCTCGTCCTGCGAGTTTTTTTCGTCTTTTTCCTACAAGGAGGGACGTCAGAGGCTACCCGTTATGGCCAGTGCAACCTCGAACTAGGCAAGCTAGAGACTCGCGGAAAACGGCGTTAAAAATATGTCGCCAGTGCATCAGGTAAGCGTGTCCGGACAATTATAAATGTTTTGTTTGGGAGGCGAAACCGAGTAACGGAGATCAAGGCAATGATTTATGGACCGCTGTTATGCTAAATACCAAGTATGCTGCGACGATGCGGAAGGCGGCGTTAAATAGCTCTCGGATTCCTCCAGGTGACAGGCACTAGTGGACATCAGCACATGAGAACTGCGGTATGTGATACCAGGTCAAAGGTCAAAGGCTTTTGTCGCACTGCCCTCTGCGGTTATTGGTTTTTATCGATGGCTAGGCCTTCTCATGCCGTGGAAAGCATGTATCTGACCGCTGGTCGCATCCACAACACATCGCTACAGTTCTGGCGTCGGTCGCTGTGGATATAATCGGTTAGGGCAAACGTGTGGTGGCGGTGAAGAAGGGTAGGAGAGGTGTAGCTTCAGTTTTCACTGGCGAATTCAATGTCAGCATCAAAGTGCTATTTCTAGACTCGTGTTTGGCCCATCAACCGGTGTATTTCAGGCAGATGTTAACAGAAGAGCACAAAAGTGGGTAAACGCATGCAGGCCAATGGAGACTATCCAGATACATGTAAGAAGGTCATTCCGGCGTACATTCTTAGGGCTTATCTTAATGGCGTAGTCTTGATAGGGAGCAGGATCCGCTGCTTCAAATGCTCGTCAAGAATGAATTACAACTACTTACTTTGTCAATGTCACCAGATCCTTTCTCGAAAAATATATAAAAAAGAAACGAAATTGTGCCTCTCGTGGGTGTCATGCGTTATTGAAACCATGCTACAAAAATACCATGGCCCGCTCTTGTGAAAGCGATGAGGAGGCATTGCATGACAATGCGTCAGATATGCTGTCCCAGTTATGAACCGAAAGGTAAGATCCGTAATACAAACCTCAAAACTGAATTTTATGATTTACGTGAACCCCAAAACATTTGTTTTCACACTTGACGCATCGCACATCAGAAACGCGAACTCAGCACCGGCACACAAACACCTCGCGCTGCTCACGTCTGTCTGTCTTTCTATCTGCGTGCAGAAATACAGACATAAATTCAGAGTCAAGAGAGAGGTGAGTGAGTGAGTGAGTGAGTGATGAGTGAGTGAGTGAGTGAGTGAGTGAGTGAGAGTGAGTGAGTGAGTGAGTGAGAGTGAGAGTGAGTAGAGGAAGAGAGAGAAGAGAGAGAAGAGAGAAAGCGAGAGAAGAGAGGAAAGAGAGAGAAAGAGAGGAGAGAGAGAAGAGAAGAGAGAGAAGGAGAGAGAGAGAGAGAGAGAGAGAGGAGAGAGAGAGAGAGAGAGAGAGAGAGAGAGAGAGAGAGAGAGAGAGAGAGAGAGAGAGAGAGAGAGAGAGAGAGAGAGAGAGAGAGAGAGAGAGAGAGAGAGAGAGAGAGAGAGAGAGAGAGAGAGAGAGAGAGAGAGAGAGAGAGAGAGAGAGAGAGAGAGAGAGAGAGAGAGAGCACACACACACCACACCACACCACACGCACACGCAACACGCGCACACACACACACACACACACACACACACACACACACACACACACCACACACACACACACACACACACACACCACACACACACACACACACACACACACACACATACACACACACCAGGCAACGTATTCCATGACTCGTAAGAATGAGAGCAATGGGCAGACACATGAAAAATTGGCTAAATGTGAATGCTCATACCAAACTCATGCTTGAGGACTGTGACGTGCGAGCGCTGTGCTGGTTGCAGTGAGCCCGATTGTAGACTACAAAACACTGCACGTTTGCTGCAGCGGTGGCATTTCTTTCAGAGTGGCCAAGCGCCAGCTTTACAGCTTTCTGTAGATCGAGGCTGGTCCATCGCGTGGCTTTCGTGCAGCGATTGCCACGTAACGCCACTGCGTTGTCATTTCAGCCGTCATGCAAGCTGAAGGTACCCGGACTGGTTTGTAACCTATATGTGGGGCCATACTTGATGTTGCACTCTGTTGGTCTTGTGGACTGCTGGGGACTGCCGCTGGGTTACACATTATCCATGCACTGGTCATACTTCATCCCTTCACTGAGCTGGATCTACAAAGCTGTATGTCACACGCTTAGAAACTTATTTTCCCTGGCCGCAGCGCAGTGGTCTCTCCGCCTTCCGTTGAACATGGAGTCGTGGAAGCTGATGGGTGTGGTAACGCCTGAACCCGACCCGTATGGCTGCCATGAGGCTTCACATGCCAGACTTTGAATGGACTCTCAGACCCTTTTCAGGAATCCCCAAGTTCTTGAGGTGTTGTTTGAAGCTTTTTAATTCCTTAACTTATAATTTTGGGGGGGTGTATTGCAGTACCATGTGGCAATCAATGTGCCTTTACAATGGCATTGCACTCACCAAGCCTTGCCGTATGGCTGTGGAAGATGATGGACATTGCTGTTTTTTGTCAAAAAAGCTCACTGCTTCTTCTGGAACGTCGGCAGTTTTTCTAAACAGCTGACGTTTCTGCGAGCCTTGTTCCGTTGCGCTCATTTATTGTTTATCATTAAAGATTATCACTGCATCACTCACCCACACGCACCTCGGCTAAAGCCCACCCACATCAACGCCAATCATCGCCGTTTTTTATAAATGGAAACACGCTGAGCACCCACCCCGCACGGTTTTTTAAGAGAGATTATCTCTATTATCCCTCTCCCAACATCACCGTGTCTCGGATATCACATGTATTGTGGTCCACCGCGTGACAGGATGTCTCCAACATTGAGACATGAGGCGCTCGCCTGTCCCCGAGATGTGGCCAGGTGATCTGTCGGCTAAGGTAACCGATGGTGAAAGCCACCGACGCGGGCGCACCTCGTATCCTCCCGCTATCCTGGAGGCCGCACCTCGTGTCCCTCCCGCTATCCTGGAGGCAGTGGGCGCACCTCGTGTCCTCCCGCTGTCCTGGAGGCAGCGGGCGCACCTCGTGTCCTCCCGCTATCCTGGAGACCGCACCTCGCACCTCCCGCTAACCCGGGGGCAGCGGGCGCACCTCGTATCCCCCCGCTATCCTGGAGGCCGCACCTCGTGTCCTCCCGCTATCCTGGAGGCAGCGGGCGCACCTCGTGTCCTCCCGCTGTCCTGGAGGCAGCGGGCGCACCTCGTGTCCTCCCGCTATCCTGGAGACCGCACCTCGTAACCTCCCGCTAACCCGGGGGCAGCGGGCGCACCTCGTATCCTCCCGCTATCCTGGAGGCCGCACCTCGTATCCTCCCGCCATCCTGGGAAGCTATCCCGCTATCCTGGGAGCCAGCTTAACTCCTCACCGTCCGCACTGACTCATAGTCCTAACGGTGCCTCGTCTTTGTCCGGTACACCGTCTCCTCTCCTTCTCGGACTCAAGAACGAATTCAAAGTCTCACCAGCATCCCTTCTCATGCTCCCAACTATTTCTACTTATCTCGCGAGGTCATGACTATTCTTGGCTTCGGATCCGGATTCGTCTTGCTTTGACTTGTCAGTCCTGATCCGAAGCTGACTCACCACTCGTCTTGTGCCAGGTACTAATACTTTCGACCCGGACTCGTCACATCCTGACTTCCATGACGCCGCCCCGCTGAGCTCTTACCCGCCTCACCGAAACTCACACGACTCCGATCCATCTCATTTGTCTGACGAGTCCGACACTGACTCGTTCCACGTGAGCCCGTGTGAGTGCGCTGAACTGTGGTTTGTGCATCCCCGCCTCGTCCATCTCTGCATCATTCGAGCCGGGCTCCCCAGACCTGATTCTGGCCCGGTCTTTATCGTGTCGGATCCTGAATCGTTCTGTGCCGTCTCTTCACACCTCGACCCGCCCGACCCTGACTCGTCCAACTCGCACCCGACCTCAGACTCGCTCGACTCTGACTTCTGTGGACCTAAAATTTATCTGATCTGGCTCGTTCAGCCTTGTCTCGTCTGATCCTGGCCTGACTTTGGCACTGCTGACAGGCTCGCTGGCACTTCTGACAGGCTCGCTGGCACTGCTGACAGGCTCGCTGGCACTGCTGACAGGCTCGCATGACACTGCTGACAGGCTCGCTGGCACTGCTGACAGGCTCGCTGGCACTACTTTGGCTGGAACAACATGCTGGAGTGGACTTGCTACGTCTGCGCGCTGCTGTTGGTTTGGGACTTCGACCAGTGCTCCCGGGCCACCGGCATCCGACTGGTAGGCACTAGAGTGACCGAGTTTGTGTGAGGAGCAGGAGCAGGGTCAGAGCGGTCGCCGCCGACGAGGGGCAGGAGCTGGGTCAGAGCGTTCGGCGCCGACGAGGGGCAGGAGCAGGTTCGAAGCGGTTGCCGCAGATGAGGGGCAGCAGCTGGGTCAGAGCGGTCGGAGCCGACGACGGGCAGGAGCAGTACTCTGGTAGAGAAAGTTAAAAATAATGATCTTCATTCCGTGATTGGGCCGTTGTCACCATTAAGAGTTTAGACCGTGTCTGATGGTTTGAATTTTGTCTGTCTAAAATGCTGCGATAAAATGGTTTCCTGAAAAATTAATGGTCGAAATACAGGCGCTTCATAAATTTTGGGGTACTTTAAGCCATGGATTCAACTTTGAAATTTTGACCAGCCTGGGCCCGAACCTCAATTTCATCATGTGAACTGGTGAGGCCTTTACCTCGCCAGACAGCGTAAACGCCCACCCGATCGTTGAATTTACGTCCCGAGTAGAAATAATGCTGACACCCAAACATATTTTCATGAAACTGGATAACCTGTTTGCCGAATAGCGTACAACGAGTGGAGAAGGTAAACTGGCGCACGAGGGGAAAGCGACCTCGTTTATATGACACTTAAAGCCTTTACTTCTCTCCAAAAAGTGTCTTTCATTAAGAGCGGACGGCTTCCATCCCTCCCCACTCTTCAGGTCGCCGCGCTTGCGTCTGCAGTAAAGGTTCCCCCCGAAATAAAGTTTCTTGAGCTTAATCCCCACTTTTTGAAATGTTTCTTGAGTATCTCACAGCTTGTTCCTGATACTCGTTTTTGGCTCTGTGAGTGTCTGTGCGTGTGCACTGCATGCAGTAACCTGGCACGCGCCCATGCTTCTGTGTGATCTTGGCTGCAGGTTTGGCAGTGGAAGGTCGGAGCTGTTGCGGTGTTCCTCGCCTGGATGAACTTGCTGCTCTTCATCCGCAAGTTCCCCGTGTTTGGCATCTACGTCGTCATGTTCACCGACGTTCTCTCGACGTTCACCAAGTTCTTCCTCGTCTTCTTCTTATTCATCACGGCATTTGCCATAACCTTCTTCGTTCTTTTGCAGAATCAGGTGAGAAGTTGCTTAGGTGCATTGCCCAAGCTTGTCGCACTTTTGTGACGCTTACTCTCACGTCGCATACCCTAGTGAAATGACCGTGGGGAACACCAGTGCCGCTGTCTTCATGCGCCGACTGTATGTTGCCGGTGATATCAAGAGCTACGGAATTAGTGTGGGCGGTCAGTATGTCGCATGGAACAAATCCAAGGGGAAAAAATCGAACGAGAAAAAATTTGGTATGTCGGTGGGGATAAAATTTGATTCAGTTAGCACATTCGTAGAACAAATAGGTAATGGGAACAAAGACAACAATCAAATTGGAAAGAGTTCAACGACGAAAGTTCGACAGGGATGACAGTCGAATTGAAGACGAAAAGTTAAAAGACACATGGTTGACAAGCATAAAAGCTGAAAGGGATAGAAGCCAAAATAAGGAACAGTCAAAAAAGTCAGCACTGCCAGAAGCCGATAATTTATATTTCTGACAAACCGACATAAATAGAAGCCAATCGAAAACTGTCAAGGGTAATAGGATCATAAGAACGTCGGCCGACTCGCAAACCTTCCTTTGAATGCGCTGCCGCATTTGATCCTCGGAAAATAATTTTGCGGTCGATAGGTGGCCAGTTAATAAATGTAGCAGTCCTCATTCAAACCTCTTCCCAAACCCGTATAAACAACCTGCAGTTGTATCCAAAGAGACCATGGTTGTGTCTTTACAGCAGGCAGCTTCCATGTGCACTCCTAACTGCTCATCGATTATGACTTCTGTACTTAATTTTTATAGCAGCACAGTGTTTTGCTACTCTAAAGCGGCCCATCCTTGCCACCACATTGTGAAGCACGAAAAGAGACGACCGCTTTCCTTTCTGACGAAAGAGGCTGGAGGCAAAGCTGTGTATGCAGCTGGAGTTGCATTATGAACTGGGTGGTGGGCTCATGGAGTAAAAGGAGCAAACTATTCTTAGCACGTATTTTGAGCCAAAGTCATCCATGCAAGCCAGTTTCCTGTTTTGTTTTTTTTAAAGCCGAAGCACCCTTTTACCCCGTGGTCATAATCGTCACCTGAGTAGCTGACCTTGGTTTCCGTCTGCGCCCAATATACTTTGTCATGAGAATGTCAATTACAGACGCCTTCATTAGCGCGGCCCATACCCGTTATGGCCACTCATGCCTCAGGACACTCCTTGGCCCTGGCGGCATTAACGGCCTTCATAACGAGGGGATCACCTGCATGCGGTCCCAGCCTTATCTCTGTTGCCAGGCGTTAGATCCTGGTGATTCTCCTGTTTTCCCTATTTGCACACTTGTTGTTATTCCACTTCACTTTTGGTCACTTGAATTCTTCTCCAATTTGACTTTTAGTATCTGCTGACATCTATCCCTTTGTTCTTTTTCTCAATTTTTTTCGGTTCGAATTTTATTCCTGTCGGCCGTAACCGTTTTGAATTTGTCTCTTTCGATTTTTTGTTCCTGGTTTTTTCCGTGTCGACTTTTATCTCTGTTGATTCCTATCCGTTTCGACTTTCCTTCGACTTTTTCGAATTCGTCTTCAATCACTGTCGTCTTTTTATGGCTGTCGACTTCTGACAACTGTGATGAAGTGGGGACTTCGCCAACGTTTTATCGACTTATAGTAGGGCAAGTTGCTTATGATCGTATTGAGAAATTAATTTTGAGTGCCTTGTATGAACTTCGTAACACATTGTTGTAAGGTCTCATTAATCTTACGTCATCACCATTGTCCGTACGATAACGAGCGAGAACCTGACGAGTAGCGGAATGCACGCTTACTGCGTTGCTTCCTTCCAGGTGGCATTTTCAACGGTGGGGAAGTCCTTACTAAAGACTTCCGTGATGATGATTGGAGAGATGGATTATGGGTCTATCTTCGACGGCGAGGAAAGCGTGCACTTTCCTGGTGTCACCTACACTTTATTCGTCGCGTTCTTAATCCTGATGTCCATCATCATCATGAACTTGTTGGTGAGTGAAGTGGTCGGTATATATTGTTGATACCATAAGGTCACATCTGGTCGGAAATCGCCATGAACGCCTTTTGCCAAGTAGATATTATTTACATTGGAAAAGTGCCAGGAAATCAGCGCACACTGCAGTGACTGTAACATCGTGCGCGCATTGTCTCATAAAGCTACTGACATATCGGATTCTTGTGAATGGACTACATTTCCACCAACAATGATCTTACTGGGCCAGCACATCTCGGCGACACCATCATCAGTGATCTGCAACCGCTAGCGACCATACGACTCTCCCCTAGGTGGGTCTAGCTGTGGACGACATCAAGTCTGTGCAGGACCAGGCCTCGCTGAAGCGGCTGGCGATGACGGTGCAGCTGGTGCTGGACGTGGAGTCGATCGTGCCCGACTTTATCCTGCGCAAGCTGACCATGCGCAACATGACGGTGTATCCCAACCAACGTAGAAAAAACTTCATCGCCAAGCTGTGGCGCGGCGACTTCGCCATGAAAGAGGTGGCCGAGAAGCTGATCCAGGACGCGGAAAAGGTGCGTGTTAACCATCAGCCGAACGGTCGTTATTGATTTGTCCTTTGCGGTGATGCTGTCCGCAAACAGAATAGCTGACCTGGGGCGGTGCCGCTCCTGCCATCACGGACATTTCTGTGAGGGCTTCCGTTCCTCCGACGTCCTGACAGGCTGGCAGGCCGCGTTTTAGCGATCATTTGATCCATAGCATTTTAGCGATCATAGCATTCGTCCGTTTCTGCTGACTCTCCCTAGCCCATTCCTGCTCGCTGGGGACCATGCGGAGCATAGCTATGTCCCTGGTGTGGTCCCCGGTGATCCATGGCATGCGCTCCATTAACGCTAAACTCCCGGGCGGACCCGGATGACGCCTCGCACCCCGTGGCCTGCCCTCTTGCGCCCATATGACGTATCGTGACGCCGGTGCCCCGCTGGCTGTCGCCTGACGTGGGTCGCCCCGCGGGGGTGCCGCCAGGTGGGCGCCGACCAGGCGCAGGAGACGACCATCGCCCAGCTGCGCGGCGTCAAGCAGGAGGTGCGGCTGATGGCGACGCAGCTGCAGACGGTGCGCGCCATGACGGAGGCGCTCATCAGGAAGAGCGGCATCGATTGGGAAGCCGAGGACCAGTACCATTTCGACTGAGCGGGCCCCACGTCGGCTGGGGCCACACGCCATGCGTGCAGGTGCCCGACGCTGGTGGGAACCGGCTGAGCCGTGTCTCCGACCGACTATTTTACTGCCGCGATGATTAATTGGTAGCTTTGTGAGACTGCGTTGAAGGCGAATATTTTGCATAGCACAAGCCATGTTTGTTCAATCTCTTTTAACTATGGGTTTACCTCAGTGTACATGGGGGAATTTTACAACATTGCGCACACGAGGTCCGATTGAAACCATGAGCCGTATGTGCGAAGCATTTGTTTGCGAAGCATTGTTATTGGATTGTTAAGATGAATGGGACGTCGATAGGGTGATGTTGGATTGTAACCGCTGCACATGTTACAGAGTTTGGTTCGAACTTCCGCCAGACAACGGTAGATGAGGCACGCAGTAGCCATTGGCTGGCGTTAGTTCGGCCGTTCACCTGTTGCTTTTGCTCGTGGTGATGGTGAAGCGAGACGCCAAATGTTCTTGAACTGAACTTGCCGCAGCCAATGCCCAAGATTAGAACGCTTTTGTCTCACGTTTTGATGGAAATTTAGTTGACAATTATGAAAGGGAATGTTCCGCGTTTCAAGATACTGGGGCAAGCGGCATATCTGATGAAATAAGCTCACCTATAACTATTGGTATATTTTAAGCGGAAAAGGCCGCTCTAGATAACACAATTTCTCTGTTTGGTAAATGAGCTAGTCATTGCGTCATTGTTTGATTACGCCATGGAACGTTTAATTTCCCGAGAGGTCGCACGCGGCGGTCCTGGATTTGTGCTGAACCGAATGGCGTTGGGTGTTCGTCTGTACGTACGTGTATAATACTTCCTTTAAAGGGAGTGTTCCACATTTGTGCGGCGTTTGAACTGAGATAGCCATCTTGCAGATCAGCTCATGCAGTTTACAGCCCTGCCCTTCTAAAGGCCTTAAACCTCTAGCTTCTGACCTAAATGCCCGCGAAGATGTGCGGGCTTTTTTGGAGTTTTTTCAAGATCACCCAGGCATCCATGACGCTATAATTACGTCATTGAAGTTCCACTTCACTGGTCATGCGGCAATTAAAGCCAATAAAAATCAAGTTGTCGAGTCGTTCATGTTGTCATTCGTGAACACGATTTGCAGATATGTTGACCCTGAATTGGCTCATAATCGATGTTGTGCAAGGCACGACGACGTAATCAAACATTGACGTATTGAGGATCATACTGACTAAACAGAGAAACCGTGTCGTCTAGGGCAGTCTTTTCCACTCAAAAGTGTACCAATGCTTATGTGAGCTTATTTAATGATGTCTTCAAATGCAGAACATTCCCTTTTAAGCAGGAGAAGTGTGACAACCGCATGCTAGTGTCTTCGTGGCCAATGTAAAGCGTGCCCGCTAGATCGTATTGTTTCGCATGGAACTGTGATTGTCCCCCAGTGACACACGCAGCCAGTCGCCGGGCGTTCAGCGGTAATGTCAGTGACGACGCGTGCTGTGCCTCAAGTATCAGCGAGTTGTGCAAAAACAGCAAAAAAAACAAAAACGGGTTGCCTTGCAGTGTGCCACATTTGTACGCGTACAAACCACCTTGTTTCATTGTAAAGCTACAAGTTTTATTAAGCGATATCGCCAAGTGAACCGGACTATCCTGGTTCTGTCATGTGTGCCATGTACACGTGCACATACGGATCTCGTCTGTTTGACATTGCAGATGTGCTGTGCTGGCGCTCCTTTCGCATAAATAGTACGTGGATGACAGGTGGTTTTGGCATTGCAGGCGTGCTGTGCTGGCGCTCCTGTTGCATAAATAGTGCTTGGATGACGACTGGTTTAAGCTCGCGCTCTCCTTCGTATTTGTAGAGAATAAGTCTTCCAACGCGCATTATTTTGCTTTGCGAACGTAGTTGTAAATAAGCATTTAATGTACAGGGTACGCCTTGATTTATCGGGTAATTATTGCATAGCGAACATGAACTGTCTCTTAAGCTGCGTCCAACTCATGACGATTCCCGTCTTGCGATATCCAAAGCTATCGAGCATTTAAACTTTCATAGTGGTTACGTTTGCGTTCTTCCACAACCCTCTCGCAGATGTGAGCCAAAATGGTGCACCAAACAATGCGTTTTAGATACAAGAATCAGCATATTTAACCAGGGGCGCCTTGGAAGAGAAGAGAGGCTAGCTAGCTAGGCCTCCGAAGAGTGTTCGACGAGGCTCGAAGAGGTGCCAGGAGCATTCCGGAGCCGACGATAAAGGGTCCGATTGGAAGGCATGAGGGCCCGAAGAGCTGGTTGAAGGCCACATGAAGGATCGCGGTCCGTAGGTCCGTGACCTGTTATATCTGTCAGAAGGCCTCTCGCACCGATTGAGAACCTCCTGAGACGATATGAGCCTCTTTGTCAGGCAGGCAACACCAGCATCGAACAGCTGGCGCCGTATCGGTCTGGACCCTGGTGGCCCATTTCCCTGACAGAAGCGAGGGCTGGACCCGCAAGTTGCATTGTCCCGGCCCCGTTAACAATGAGGGGTCCCTGTGTCGATCAGAGGCTCAAAATGCCTTACAGGACGTTATGTGTCGGCAAGTGGCCCCGGGTCGGTCACGATCTTTATTTGAAGAGGCCCGAGGAAGGGCCGAAGGGCCCGTTTGGACCAAAGATCAGTGAACTGATTGGAAGACTGAGGGGCCGAAGGCCCGAAGAACTGGCCGCGGTCACACTGGGCACGGCCCTGCCCGTAGAGTCTGACCTCCTGACCTCTAGAGTCCGATGAAGATGAGAGGTGAGATTTTAGGCATCATAAACGGAAAGGAAGATTAATGATGATAGTCACCTTTTGCTGAATGGGTTTTTCAAGTGAGTCCCAGATGCTCAGCCTGCGACGTGTCAGCTGTAACTGGTTTGGAAAGTCGCTGTTTCAGTGCAAAAAGGCATGGAGAACCAGGCCATCCGGTCAAAACCAAAGCCAGGTCATCCGGGAATCCATGACGTCATAATAACATAATTAAAGAAACGCGTCAATGTAAATAGCTACCCTGAAGATCATTCGTTGCGGTTCACAGCCCTGCTCTTCTCAATGCATGCAACCCCCTAGTTTCTGAGCTACACGTCCGTGGAGATGTGCAGACTATTCCGGGGGGGGGGGGGACTATCTCCAGGTCACCCGAGCATCCATGACGTCATAATAAAACCATTCAAATCCTGTCATTCCATTGGTCACATGGTGATCAAGGCTAAGAAAAATGTAATCGTAGACTCGCTCATATCTGGCATCCGTGAGTAAGACTTCCAGATACAACGGCCGCCAATTGGCTCTCCATCAATATTGTACAAGGTGTGATGACGCAACCAAACGGAGGCTCCTTGGGGAAGCATTTCACTAAATAAAGAAATTGTGCTGTCTAGAGCAGTACTTTCCACTTGAAGGAATACCATTAGCTATAAGTGAGCTTATTTCATCATGGCTGTTTGCTTCAATATCTCTAAATGTGGACAGTTACCTTTCAGATATAACATAAAGTCCACGCGTTTTTATATACTCGTAGGCCAAGCGTCACGTGCGAAACATCCAGTGGCATGCGTTAACCTGCTGACAGGCGACTGCATATGCGAAATCAAAGCAGCTGAACATGTTCAGGTATCCGAGGATCAGGCCTGTAACAGCGCGATAGGTGCGCTCGGGAACGCGTCTTCCGGAGGGAGGCAATAATCCCGGTCATTGCACTGTGGCGTGAGCCAGATCGCCAGCACTGCTCTGTTGTATTGTTCGTCAATCACATTCTCTATTGAGCCCTGCTGTGTGACAATTTCCGAGGAATGCGTGTACCGTGTGGTCAATCTCACTACCCCATGAACTTTCCGAGTGTTGCCAAATCTTACACTTAAGCGGCAAGCAAGGCTCCGGCTTTGCCCAAACCTGCCATTCAGACCCTGTCTCAGCCTGCGATACCTTACCGCGACATCAGCCACAATCCTTGAAACGTCAACTGCTATCACGACGTGTTCGTAGTAGATCACAGCTATACAAGCGCCGGAATCAACGGCGCAGCCGCACACCAACAACGCGGCGTCGTCCACGCGCTATCGGAGCTTGATGTGGTGGGGACCCGCGCTCAACACGCGGCGGCAGCTGGACGCTACCGGAACTCAGACGAGTAGGTCCAGACGGTCGACCTCTGCGGACGCCACCAGACGCTGCGGTTGCCACGCAACGCGGCGCACGCCGCAGCGTCCTCGTCGACCGAGTCGCCGTCTCCGTCGAGGCCTGGCCGGCAGCCGGTGACGTCCGTCACCGGCGAGCCATTGAGCACCTGGAGCGAGGGCTGCGAGGCGCACAGGATCGCCTGCCACTTGATGTTACGCGTCAGCGGGTTCTTGTAGAGCGAGACACGACGCAGCTCCAGCCGGCCGCTGAGCCGTGTCAGCTCCATCGGCTCGCTCAGCTTGTTGTTGGCCAGATACAGCGCACGCAGCTGCGGTGGCCACAGCGTGGGTAGCCGCCGCAGCCGGTTGCCCTCAACGTGCAGCGCGCGCAGGCTGGCCAGCGACGGCAGCGTTTCATTCGGCAGCGCCTGCAATTGGTTGCGGTCAGCGACGAGCAGCTGCAGCGCCGCGCAGGGTGCCAGGCAGTCGAGCATCTTGATCTGATTGTCCTGCAGGAAGAGCTGCTTCAGGGCACGCAGGGCTGGCAGCTGTAGCGGACCCAACCGGACGAGACCGTTGCTGGCCAGATTGAGCACCTGCAAGGCGGGGAAGCAGGCGGCGCCGGCCGGCAGCGGAGGCTCAGCGACGTCACGCATCCGGCGCACCGCATTGTTCACCAGGTTGAGCACGCGCAACTGGCGCAGCTGCTGCAGGCCGGACAGCAGACTGAGCTCGTTGTCCTCCAGGCTGAGGCTGACCACCTGCTGTAGGCAGTCAGCTGGCAGGTCGATGTGGCGTATGCCGCAGGCGGGCAGGTCGAGCTGCGTCAGCGCGCGCAGAGCCGGCGCCGCCAGCGTCTCCTGCAGCCGGTCGAGCGTAAGGAGGCCGCTCAGCATGCTGACGGCATCGGCACGCTCCTCGCAGCTCACGCAGCTGCCGTCCAGCATCTGCAGCGGGGCGCACTTGTACACGACAAAGCGGCGGTAGTGCGGCTCAGCGCACACGGCGTTGTCCGAGGCGTCGAGCGCCTGCAGACGGCCGCAGGCAGCCAGCGGCACCAGGGCCGCCAGCCTCTCCAGCCGACAGGAGGTCACGTAGAGCTCCGTCAGCGACGCCAACTGCTCGAGACCGCACAGGGACACCACCGGGTTGTCCGAGACGTCGAGTAACTCCAACAGCGGCAGGCTGACCGGCGCCAGACTATCCAGACTGTCTATGCCGTTGTGCCGCACGCTGAGCGAGCGCAGCTTCAACGAGGAGGTGGCCAGACCACGGAAGTCGGAGAGCTCGTTGAAGTCGGCGGAGAGGTACTCGAGATGAGGGAACCCCTCCAGGCCCTGCAGCGAGCACAAATGGTTGTCATTCAACGATAGCTTCTGCAGGAACGGGATTTCTTGGATGCATTTGAGACTATGAAGCATCTGGCCGTTCAGACACACAGCCGTGAGCTTGCGCGGGTCAAGCTTACCGCCAGTCATGGTCTTCGGCACGGGCTGCGACAGCATGAGGTCGCCGATTTCCATGGGGCACTCCAGCCTTCTGAATGTCGGCGCAGTGTTCCCGGGGTATGAGAGAGTTTGTCCCTGCAGCTCTTGCAAGCCCGGAAGAAGCTGTGCGGCCAGGACACCCTGACGATCCTCACAGATTCTCCACGGGTTAAAACCGATGTTGAGGCTCTTCAGTTGCGGGCACGCCACTGTCAGACGGCGCAGCGTTTCCGGCAGATTCGACAAGCGATTCCACGAAATGTTCAGTGAATGGAGCTTGACCAGCTTGGGCATGTCTTTTACACTGGCGATGCAGTTGAATTGCAGGTCGACGGCCTTCAGGCTTACCATGTGTGTCAAGAACTCCACCGTCTTCAGCTCGTTGAAAGAAAGGTCGAGCTCGGCAATGCGGCCGGCGTACTCGCAGCTTTTCACGGTTACTATGTCCCTGCCGGCCTCGCATACGCGATCTCCCTTTGGTTCGCTGGGCCTCAGGACCTCACGGGGCGCCCCGGCCATTTCCCGGGCGGGCAGCTCTACGTCCGGCAAACACACCGAGTTCAGCAGATCGTCGTCCAGGGACGCACTGGACAGGCAGGCCATGGGACGGTCGTTGCACGCGTCGCCGATGGTGTACAGCAGGATGAGCTTGGGCGCGAGGATGAGGCGGCGGTTCACTAACTCTTCCGAGCTAGGGTGCAAGAACGACGGCACCTTGGCCGGTACTGTTTTCTCCTGCGGTAGCGCAAGCACTCGTACCAGGATAGCCTCACGAAAACATCCGAAGTATTCCCGCAGGCTGGCCAGCGGCTTAGACGTGATGGACTCCTCGGGGATGTCCAAATCGGTACTGACGGCTACCTTAGTCGTGATGTCTCCCTTGCACACTTCGAGGATCCAGTCGATGTCTTTACCCTTCTCGGCGGTGATGAAGCGGTCCATCACCCTCGCGAGACAGTCGGAAACGCTCCACTGCACCATCACATTCTCCAAGAAGTGGTTGTTCACCTTGTACATGGCCAGGAGGTGCACGTTCTTGGCGGCCGGAAGGGAAATGCCCTCACGGCCCAGGTATCGGTTTAGCGCCGAGACGCGGCCACCGGCGGCGCCCTCGCCCACGTGCAGCTCCTCGCAGCGGATGTTGCCAGCGGTGCGATACTCGAGCTCAAGCAGCGCCTGCACCAGCCGCTGCCGCTTGGTCAGCATCTGCAGGCGCTCGCTGTTGTGCACCGCCTGACCCCGCACCACGCTCGTCACGCACTCCATGCGTCGGCGGATAGCCTGTCGAAAGGCGTCCAGCGTCTCGGCCGAGGCCGGCGGGTCGGCGCCGTCGTCGGCGGCCGGCGCGCGCGCCGCTGCCTCCACCAACTGGCACTTTGCCTGCAGCAGCCGCAGCCGTCGCGCCATGGCTGCCAGGAAAACGTCCCAGTCCTGCCAGAGATGACCCACCTGCTGACAACAGCGAGCCTCTACGTGCCGGCAGAGGGCGCGGTAGTAGACAAGGCGCGTAGTTAGGTGCCGGCTCGACGCCAGCCGCTCATGCTCACTGATGGTCATCCCGTCCAGCTGCTGCAGGCGCGGCAGCAATTGCACGCAGAAGAGCCGGAAGTTGCAAAGTCGCGTACATGGCGCCGGCCGGTACATGCCATCCTGCAGATGCAGTACACTGAGCCGGGGCAGCTGAGTAAGCGCAGGGATATCCGTCAGCGGCAGCGGGTTGCCGCTGAGGTTGAGCCACTCGACGCAGTCGCCCCAATCGACTGACGCGAACCGGACGATGTTGTTCTGCGCCAGGTTCAGCTGACGCAGAGCCGACAGGTGATGCAGCCCAGCCACCTCGGTGATGCAATTGTTGTCCAGCCAGAGGGTGGTGATACAGACGCACCGGCTCAGCCCGTCGATCACCTGGATTTGGTTGGAGTAGAGGTACAGCTTCTCCAGCTTCTCGGCGTTGTCGAGGTGGCTGATTTGGCGCAGGCCGCATTCTATCACCCACAGCTCCGTCAGCTGTGGCAGCGTGTCAAGGCCACGCAGTGACGTCAGTTCCGCTTGTCCCACGATCGTCAGCTTGGTCAGGTGCGGGTAACGTGCAGACAGCGTGATAAAGTGAGGAACCTCGCCGAAGAAATACTCGAGACATTTGCCAAAAGGCATCGTGTCGTGTGTTAGTCTGCCCTGTTTCTCGGACTGCCGACCACGGCGCTCAAAACCCTTTAGAGTAATGCGAACGAACCCGCGAGACAGATGGAAAATTCAGCACGAATGTTTCGTGGAACTAGGTGATGCCGAGGACGTCCGGGTATTGTGGGTGCCTTCAATCTCTTCCGCCGACAAAAAGTCCCACGAGGTTATATAAGGTTATAGAAACTCATGTGACCTTAATCTAGCTCCAATCGGTAAACATCTTTCCGTTTGTGTGGAAAACCACGCGCCGTCTCGAAGCCGGGCACTTCCCACCAGCTTGCTTCGCTTTGCAGGGACTGCCTTCTGTGTGGAGGCATGCTTGGACATGGTTCCTTACTCTGACGTGCCCGGAGTAGCGCAGGATGTCCTTGACGCCCAGTGTCCAGCAAAGGGCCGTCCACCCTTTGAACAAACATGCCAATGTGTTGGTAACTGTTGCACTCCGCTAGATCGGGCATTCCGTCGAACGAAAATGGAACAGAATGGGAGAAGATGAGCATTGAGATGGTCGTTTCTCGATGGGCGATGCGCACCACAACTTACGTAATTCGCGCATGTATAGGCGAATTGTTCAGATGGTCCGTGACAAACGAATTGGTGCGTAGACTCCACGTCCATTTAATCAAAACACAAAATATTTCAGTTTATTGAAATAATAGGAAATAAGATTTGAGCTTGAACTACAAGGTGGAATAACTCGTTAAGCCCTCTCATGAATGACACATAACACCCATGATCCAGTGGCAGCTCTCCAGACTAAATAATAGCAGCCTGCAAATGCTATAGAACGGCTCCTCACAGTCAACACAATTTATTACCACTTCCCCGAAAGAAAGAGCACCACCTGCTGTTCCTGACGGCCGCGCCATGGCCAGGTCGGCCTGCGTTACGGCCATCGGGGGCGGGGGGGGGGGGGGGGGGGCAGTCGCCCCTGGCCCTCTATCCGGCCGTTCGCCACGCGCGCGCCGGGCGCTCCCCCTCGCTATGCGCCTTCACATGCTGAGGAGGCTAAAACCGGACGAAACACACGGGGAGAACGGAAACAGGCCGCTCCTGTGCACACAAACGGAAACAGATCGCTACTGTGTACACAAACGGAAACAGACCGCTCCAGTGTACACAAATGCACGCACGGACGAGCTCCGCGCGTGAAATGCCCGGTCGTCGGCCGGCTCTGCGCACACTCGGGAGTATTATCCGCTTCGGCCGGTGCCGGAGAGCAGGGGAGGGGCAGGGCCGCAGCCCGCCACCCCCCATCCGACCGTCTCTGACTCCCGGCTGGCGCCGCACGACTTGGCGGCGCGCGCGGGAAGGCGTCGGCCCCACCGACGCTCTCTCCCTCGGATCCGCAGTCAGCGCGTCCTAGAGCCGCAGGGCGGCAGCAGCTGCAGGCCGCGGCGCTACTCGACAGCGCCGGCCGCGTCGGCCGCCGCCGCCGCCTCGGTCGGGGCCAGCTCGGCGGCGGGCGCAGTCGGGGTCGGGGTCGGGGTCGCGGCCGGGGCAGGGGCCGGGGCCGGGGTCGGGCTGGCAGTGCCGGCCGCCGACGGCTCGCCGGCGCCCGACTCCTGGCTGACGACAGGGGACGCCGCCGCCGGCCGGCTCACCGAAGTCGGGGCTGGCGGATCAGGTGCGGCGGCCGCCTCCGCCGCAGTGTCGCCCAACGTCTCCAGCGGCTTGCCGACTGAAACAGCAGCCCGCTCTAGAGTACCGGACAACGTTGGAATGTGAACCAAACAACAACAGAAATTCAGTGTGCAGAAAGAATGCAACATGAACAAAATACGTATTGCACCAGGAAAAGCCCAGGATACCCATGACACGACGGTGCGAGATGGCAACGCATGCAAAGTAAGCCCAAAATAAACTTACCGTCAGTATTAGAAGAGTCTGTCCCAAATGCATTGGATCGCGCTGAAATGGAACGTCACCACATTAGGCGACCATGACAACCGTAAACATAATTCGGGGCGCAGCGACTATTCAGATAGTCGTGTATCAATCAGTTCAAGCGTATCATACCTTTGCACCACCCGTCGAGACGAATCAACAAACTACGAAACATGCTTTGACGTCTTATGGCAAACGCGCGTTTCTTGTGAGGCGGTAACGACTGAGGTGCAAAGGTGCCGTCCTTCCGAACACAGCGATACTTGCAAACGGCCAACCGCGGAACTGTGAGGGACGCTTGCCGCAAAGAATGCTACGGAAGGCTCCGATAGTTCGTCCTTGCGACAGAACCCAACTTGGATATAAACAGCGCTATCGGTTACCTTCAGTATGTGTCGTGTCCGGTGCACTGAACACGTTCGATCTCGCTGCAACAAAGGAAAGCACCAGTCAAATGTGAACACCCGACATGTACTTGCAAACTTATAGGCGGTGACCCCCGTTCAGGGCGGATCACCTACATACGATTTCTGCCAAAGCACGTCCCCTAAGGAGCCAAGACAGGATAGCATGCCTACAATCAAGTCACAAACGGCGTGACTGGGATTTTACCACCTGGTTCCGCGCAGATCAACCATGCAAATGAACCGACTGTTGACCGTCTGTACCCACTAAGCTCATCCCGTCGCGCAGGAGTACCTTGCTGACTGGCGGAGTTCTCGCCGCGGAAGAAGCTCTGCGCCGACTGCAGGGCCGCCTCTCGCAGCTTGGCCTGCTCAGCCGAGCTCGGGTTGGGACGCTGCGACCCGGCGCCGTGGCGTGGCGACTTGCTGCCACCGCCGCCGCCCCCTCCTCCGCTGCTGCTGCTACTGCTGCCACCGCCGCCGCCACCGCCGCCGGGCGGGCCGGCCGACGGCCGCTGGATGGGGTTTTGGTAGCGCGGCGCGGCCGGCATGCCGGCGACAGTAGGGCCGCCGGGCGCGCCACCTACGCCGCGGAACTGCGACATCATCTGGGAGCGGACGGCCAGGGCAGCGGCGGCCGCCGTGGCAGCCGCCGGCGGCGGCGGATACTGAACCACAGCGCCCGGTGGACCGGCCGGCTTCGGCGACAGCGGGTGCAGACCGGGGCCCTGCGCGCGCGAGCCAGCCATCAGCGAGCTGTTCAGTCCACTTGTCATCAGGTTGCGGACGTTCTCCGTCTTCCAGGCAGTGTTTTGCAGACCAGCCGCGGCGCGCAGCTGCTGCATGCCCAGGCTCATGTTCTGTGTCGACTGGCCGAGGCTGTTGAAGCCGCCCTGCAGGCCGAACGACTGCACCTGGCCGGCCGGCTGCTGCACGGAGCCAGTGCCCTGAGCGAGCGGTCCAGTGATCGGTTAACACCGGTGTCCATTAATACGGACCGGTGTCGGCACTTGCGCATTGATGGCAGCAAAAAGAAGCACGCGGCGACAACACAATCGACTATAATGAACCAACTGCTACAAGTCTCTGTCCTGTTAATAACAGCAAAACAGTCGTGAATTTATTGTGAGCACAAAACTGCGGACAATAACAACGAATACCCAATACCAAACTGGACATCGAAGCAAAAAACACAAGAACCCATTTTAAAGCGTGCAATGAAAAGCTCTCCCACAAAAAGGCAAACGTCGAAGAGAACACTGCTGCACTTAGCCCTTACAACTCAGCGAACTTATCCACATACTCAAGAGCCCGTGCAAACAGCAGCCCAAACTGACGTCGCCTGGACAGACGGAGGTAAACGTCCTCGAGACGGGTGGCCGCATACCTGGAAGTAGGCCGAGGTCTGCGTGCCGCTGTAGAAGCTGCTGGTGGGCGTGACCGGCTGCTGGCGGGGCAGCAGCTGCGAGCCCAGCATGTGTGGACTCAGGCCCTGGCTCAGCAGCGTCGGGTCATACTGGACAAACTGCAGCGACTGCTGGTGGTAGGGCGCGCTGGGCTTGGCCTGGCCAGGCGCGGCCGACGGCGCCTGCTGCGGCGAGCCCGACGGCTTGACGCCGGCCGACATCAGCGAGGTCGAGCTGCTGATAAGCAGCGGGTTCTGGCCGGCCGAGTGGTGAGCCGTCTGGCCGTAAGGATTGGTCTGCGGCAGCCGGTACTGCGACAGCAGGTCAGGCCGTCGGCCCGTGGTTAGGAGGCGGCGTCTGCATCAGCAGCGACTGCTGGCTGTACGAGTTGTTGCCCACGCCATACGCGAACTGCGAATACTGCGACGGCTGGCGCTGGCCCATCAGCGGGGCCGCCGTCTCCAGCTGGAAAGGCTGGTACAGGCCGGGCGTCTGCGACTGCAGCTGGCTGGCTCGAGCCGAACAGCACACCGGCCGGAGGCGACGGGATGGCCGAGATGCCGCCCAGCGGCGCCGCCGGCTGGAACACGCCGCCGGCGGGCAGGCCGCCCGCCGGCGCCACCACGCCGCCGGCCGCGCTGCACATGCCGAGCCCGGCGGCGGCCGGCGGCGCCGGCGAGAACACCGATGCCGCACTGTGCAGCTGCTGCGGCTTCACCTTGCACACGTTCGTCGACGCGGCGGAAACGTCGGCGGGGGCCGCCTTGGCCGCGCCCGACGGGAAGGCCAGCGAGGCGCCCGGCTTGTCAGGACCAGTCGGCCACGGCCGGCGCCTCCTTGTCGGCGGTAGGGTCAGCGCCAGCGCTGGCGGCGACGGCGGCGGCAGCGCCGCCACCGCCGCCGCCACTGCTCACCAGGTCCTCGGCGTGGTGGTCGGCCAGCACCGGCACGGCCGGCGTGTCCCACACCTTCTTCACCGAGGCTATTTTCATGTTGAGGTCAGCCGTGCCGGGCGACATGGCGGCGGCGGCGTGCGACGCCGGCTGCGTCACCATCGCCTTCTCGGCCAGCAGTGGTAAGTCTGAATCGAAGGTGAACTCCAGCTTCATCTCGCGCGTGTCATCGTTTTTGAACATGAGCGGCAGCTCGATGGGGCCAGGCTTGGAGCGCTTCTCCGCCTCCATTTGCTTGCCGGCGTCAGCGCGGTGCGTGGCAGCCAGCTTGGGCGCGCTACCGCTGTTCTTGAAGTTAGTGTTCTCGAAGATCATTGTCTTGGTCGGCACGCTGGCACCGTCGAAGCTGGCGGCGTCGAGGCCGGACTTGCGGTCGGAAGCGAAGCCCGCCACGGCCGACACGTCGCCAGCGTCGAACAGTTGGCTGGGCGCGGCCGGGTCCACACTGCTGAGGTGGGCCGAGCCCGGGCCGCCGCGCAGCGTCGCCGTGATCGGCTTGTCCCAGGCGTTGACGGCCGGCACCGGCGCCGGGATCGACCCCTTGATGCCGAATAGGCCGACCGACGAGTCGGCGTCAGCCTCGGGCAGCGCATTAACCAGGCTGGTGGCAGCTGGCAGCGGCTCGGCCGACTGCTTCTGCAGCCGGCTATTCTCGCGCTGCTTGGCCAGGCGCGGCGGCAGCTTGCTCTGTCGGGAGCGTTCATACTGCTTGCCGCGCGCTACTCCCACCTCTCGCTCTGCGGCACGCCGCGCCGCACGCTCTTCGCGTTTCTGCGCCTTAAGTTGCTCTTCCAGCAGGGCCTTCTGCCGCTCCTTGGCCGTCTTTTTGCTGAGCACTTCCTGGAAGCCCTCCGCCTCCTGGAACTGGTCCTCAGAAACCTCAGGGTGGTCGTCCACGATCACCACACTGCCCGAGTTCAGATCGTAGTTCTCGAAGCCGTTCTTGTTCTTCTCTGTGGCCTTCTCGGCCCCTGCCGCCTTCTTGCTGGACACGTCGCTCAGTGCTTGCTGCGCCCCGGCCGCATCGCTCAGCTTGATCTCGTCCACGCGTCCCACTGTCGTTCCGGCGACGTCGGCCACCTTGCCCGGCTTGTCGCCGGCGGCCAGCGGGGCGCTCGAGCCGCCGCGGCGGCCCGTCTCCCCGCCGCCACGCCGCTCCCGCCGCTGCTGTTCGGCCGGCCGCTGCCCGGAGAAGGTCTTGCGGCCGCCGCCGCTGCCACCGCCGCCACGGTTCTCCTTGTTAGTGGCGGTGCGGCTGGCGCGTCGGCCATCCGGGTTGCTACTCTCTGAAGCGGTCTCCCACTCACCGTCCTCGTTCGTCTGCTCCGAGGTCTGTTTGGCATAAGTCGGCCGGCCGGCGCCTGGCTCGGCCACAGACTGCTCGTTGGAAGCTGTGGACGGTGCAGCGCCGCCCACGCGTCCGCCGCCGCCGCGCGCACCACGGCCACGGTAGGCGCCGCGGCCGCGGCCCGCTCCGCCCTCCTGCTCGTCGCGATGCCGCTGGAACCGCGGGGGCACTTGGTCGTAACGGTTGGACCACTTGACCGCCTTGCCGTCGCCGTTCTGCTCGTCAGCGGGCGGGTACGTGCGCTGCGAGCGGTACTCGCGCCGGCCACGGCCGCCCTCTCGGTACCGGCCACCCTCGTAACCACCGCGACCGCCTTCATAGCCTCCGCGGCCACGGCGGGACGGCTCGCCGCGCGGCACATACCCACCGCGGCCGGCCGGCGCGCGCTCCTCCGTCTCATCCCGCGGCGGCCGCTTGTCCCGGCTGGTGGCGGGCGCAGGCGGTGCCGCCTCCTCGGCCGTCGCCACCCTCTCCCGGTCAGCCATGCCGTTCTCCCCGGCCGGAGGCCTCCGTGGCTCCTCCGCCGCACTGGCCTCGTCCTTCTCCGGTTTGGTGGCAGCGGCGTCGTCGTTTTCGGGCTTGGCCTCGTCCGTTGGTCTCTTAGTGTCAGCCGTGGCCGTCGCCGACGTCGCGGGCGCAGACGCGCTCTTAGCAGCCTCGCCGCCGTCGCGAGCGGGCTCACCACGCGGCCCGCGCCGCTCACCGTCACGCGTCGCCTTCTGGTCGCGGCCCTTGCCCGGCTCGCCACCGTCCTGGCGGCGGGGCCGGCCCTCCTTATCGGCGCGCTCCTGACGACGGTCGGGCCGGTCGCGCCGCTCGTAGCGCTCATATTTGTCGTAGCGCTCCGTCTTCTCGCTGTTCCGGTCATCCTGGCGAATCGACAGGCACAGTCAGCATTCGGAAATAACGCGCCGCATCAGCACAGTCGTTCCATACAAGCAACAAGAACCAGAAAACTGACACACTGAGAAGAAATTTGGAAAATGACATTCATTTCGGTACAAGTTAAAATGAGCCTAATTGAATGTTCTGCAAACAATACGATGGTGTCCTACATCTATCGATCAATTCACCTTTAGCAAGTGCACCAGCGTAAAGGCATCAGTATGACGACTGCATACTTTGACACAAAAATTATTGGACAAAATATTCTGAGACAGGATTTTGCACCCTTACTTCAAGGGCAACCAACGCTTGCTGTTCGAAATGGTAATAATACGCTCGAAGAATCACAGTACATTTGTCCCAAACTTGGTAAGATTAAACACCACCGAGCAGTAACGAGCCATCGAGCGCGACATCGTTCAGCAGCGGGACTCACACGTCTTTGTCTCCTCTCCTTCTTCTCATACTCGTAGCCGGTCTGGGACTGGCCGGCGTACCGGTCACCTTCCCAGGCACCGCGACCCCCTCCGCGGCCGCCCCTGCCGGTGTAGCGGCCGCCGCGGCCGCGGTCCCTGTACACGGCCAGGCCACGCCGGCCGCCCTCGCCGCCGCCTTCATGGCGCGGACCGCGGCCCTCGCCGCCGCCTTCGTGGCGCGGGCCACGGCCCTCGCCGCCGCCTTCGTGGCGTGGCGCACGGCCCTCGCCGCCGCCTTCGTGGCGCGCGCCGCGGCCGGCACCGCGCTCACGTCGCTCGGCAGGCCGTTCCGGGGGCGCTACCCTCTGCCGCCGCCGCCGCCGCAGGGGGAGCCGCAGCTGGAGCTGGAGCCGGAGCCAGAGCCGAAGCTGTTAGCTCAGGGGCGGGAACGGTGGTGGCGGTGGTTGCTGCTGGAGCCGCCGGAGTCGAAGTTGAATCCTGGCTTGGCATTGACGCCGGAGTGGGCGCCCTGGGGACCGGCGAGCCCTCCTTGACAGCGTCGCCGGCTGGCGCGATCGTGGTCGTGGTCGTGATCGCAGTTGCAGTCGCAGTCGCGGTTGCGGTCGCCGCTGCCGCCGCCGCAGACGGGGCCTGAGTCGGGACACTCGACGCGGCAGACTCGGCGCCCGCACTAGGTGGAGACAGGCGAGACTCTTCGCGCGCTGCCCAGGCGTTCTTGACGGGCAAAGCTGGCCGGTCGTCGCCGTCGGCAGCCTCCTCGGGCGCCTTGACGGCCAGCGTCAGCGGCAGCTTCACGGGCGCCTGTTTGAGCGCCGTCATGCCGGCGCTCGGGTTCCGTTCGCGCTCTGCTGCCTCCAGCTTCTCCCGGGTGAGTGGCGTCGGCCCGTGATGGCGATGCTCCCGCCGCTCGTGGTTGTCGCGCCGCTCGTGACTGCTGCGTCGATCCCCATGGGTATCCCGTCGATCCCCATGGGTATCTCGTCGATCCCCATGGGCATCCCGTCGATCTCCATGGGTATCCCGTCGATCTCCATGGGCATCTCGTCGATCTCCATGGGCATCCCGCCTATCTCCGTGGGTGTCACGTCTATCCGTGCTGTTACGTCTGTCCCCGTGTGAGTCGAGTTTCTCATAGACGTCTCGTTTCTCGTGTGGGACGCGTTTCTCGTGCGCGTCGCGCCTGTCACCGTGAGCGTCGGTCCGCTCGCCGTCCTGGTCGCGCTGCTTGCCGTGGCGCCAGCTCTTCTCGGCGTCGCCGCCGCGCCGCTCGGACCGCTCCCAGCGCCAGTCGCTGGCCGTTGCCTCGGCCACCGGCTCCGTCTTTTCGGCCGGCTTCGCAGCGGGCTCCTTTTGCTGCGACTGCACCTCGCTCTCCAGCTGGTCGGCCCAAGAAGCGCCGTAGTCGTACTCCTCGGCCGCATAGTCGAAAGAATCGGTCTTCTTCGGCTCTTCGGCCTTGCCGCGCTCCGCGCGCTCCTCAAAGGGGTCCCTCTGGACAGCCTGAAGAGAGGATACAATTACACAGAGCTAAACACACAATCGAGAGACAGCGCAAGCAACCGTCAGATTATTAGCTTTTACAGCTAAAATAAGAGGACAGAAGTGCGATTCCAACATACCAAAATATTTTACAGGTTTCCAGTTACAGGGAAGGACAAGTGATGCAGACTGCAGTCCGTCCAATTCGCGGCGGTGAAATATTTATTCAAACAGGGTTGGTTGCGGTTAGCCGGTTTCGCGCACCGTTGGCCAGCCAACCAGCAACAGGTCGCTCGCCCGCCAGCCGACTTCGTGTTGAACTTTGGGTGCGAAGTGTAGAATATACACCCAGAATCGTATCAATTGATATGTACGCCATAATTTCTACAACAAAGCAGATTTCCCCAAAGTAAATTAAAACTACGGTCTTATGAATTATCTCGGTAAATTTTCCAAGGCCTACGAAAATTCCCTCATGGTCTTGTCATACGGTGCAATAGCCACAGTCCTCCTTGGGCGGCATCTCGCTATATTGTAAAATTACTAATCCTCGGAAAATGACCAGTGGGAGCGATACCAAATGCATCTTTCCGTTAGAAACCAGTTGCTCTTTCCTATCCTTTTGCTGTGCTAAAAACACCATGTTAAGGCTTTTCCCCGTGGTACTGAACGATTTCCAGCCCGACGTGTGGTGGTTTACATGTGCACGCAAGTACAGTCATATGAACACGAAAAAACGTATGCGATTGCAAAAACTGCGACATTTACTTTCATTCAAGCAAATAAGCACCTGTGAACTTCTGTTATCAAACTCAATCGTGGAATGAGCGAATTTGTGCAATCAAGATTTACTATTTGAATGCGTACGCGTCCATTTGTCCAGCCTTCCAACCTCCCCACGCCGGCTAGCCGCTTCCTTCGACTGGGTGATCGCTCGGCAACTGGGCGAAAACATGCCATGGCTGAAGCCTAAATTCGAAGCGATAAAGACGTCAGGTCAGGACGCCATCGACCTGAAGTTTTTTTCGCAGTTCAGCCGGGAGCAGCCGTGCCGCTATCTGCGTGCCTGCCTCCGCCGGACGCCCAATGGCCGTACTCGGCCCCTGCCTGCCGTGCCTTGCCCCCGGCCAGGCGCCCACTGACCGTGTTCGGCCCCGCCTGCCGTGTCTGCCTCCGGCCAGGCGCCCACTGACCGTGTTCGGCCCCTGCCTGCCGTATTCTGCCTCCGGCCAGGCGCCCACTGACCGTGTTCGGGCCCCTGCCTGTCGGCCTCTGTCGAGCTGTTGCCTGCGCCGGCCGCGGTAGTCGTCTGTGGCGGCCGCGGCGGCCGTGTCGCCGTCCCGGTGGCGCGGCTCGTGCGGCCCGTCATCCCGCGACTCGTAGTAGTCGGCCGGCGGCCGCGGCGGCCGACGCTCGGCGTCGCGGCTCGGCGGCCGCTCCTCGTAGCCCGGCCCAACGGCCGTCGGCTCCGTATCCGCCGCCGCCGCCGCCGCCGCCGCGGTAGCCGCCTGCGGCTGGCGGGGAGGCGCCGCCCGACTGCTGGCGCTTGAAGCGCGGCGGGCAGACCAAGACTGGAACTGGCGCGAGAACTGCGGCGGCACGTCCTCCTTAGCGGCCGGCGGGCGCCGCTCGCCGTCACCGCCGACGCGGCCGGCGCGCTCCTCGTCGGCCGGCAGCGGCGCCTCGTCGCGGCTGCCCGATCGCACCAGCTGACTCTCCGCTCGTAGCGCGCCTCCTCCTGCTGGCGGCGCTGGCGGGCACGCTCCACTGCCACGAGTCACCTCCTCCGACTGGCGCCGCTTCCATGTCTCCCTCGTCCTCGCCACGGCCCGGCGGACGCATGCCCGGCATGTAGCCCGGCATTCCGCCGCGCATGCGCATGTGTGGCGGCATGAAGCCTGCGGGAGCGTGACCGCCGGGTCATTCGCGCAACACACGCCATCGCCACCAGAAATCCAGCAACTCAATCGTGAAATCAGTCTGATTCCAACCACCCAACCATGCATTTCCACAAAGCTGCACGTGATGCACGAAAGTTACTATCATGGCCTGTATGGTAACCACAATATGACTGCTAATATGACAATATCAAATGTCAATAATACAATCTGGCAGTAAAAATGCCCGCGACGCGCAGGAAACCCGCGACTAGAAGACTGATTTGCTGTCAACTGCACCACCTCAGTCACCCTCGCGACCCTTGCATCCCTTGCCGAGCGTATCCAGTCCGCGTCGCAGCCCAGGCCCGATCCCAGCCCTTTGCCGGCCGGTGTGACGGCGTCGGGTTAGTCGGCTGGCCGATCTCACCTGGATGCGGCGGCGGTCGGTAGTCGAACGGCAGCGGACCGCCAGGACCGCGGCCAGCCCAGTGCGGCGGGGCGGGCCCGCGCGGCGGCGGACCGCCCCGGCCCGGCTCGGCGCGCAACTCGTCAGACGGCAAGCCGGTCCCGGCCGCGTGACGCGCCGCCACCCACCCCGGCCGCGACGCTCGTCATCCGGCTCGCTCTCGTCATCCGAGAAGGTCAGCTTCTTACTGAGAACGGCGGCGGCGGCTCTCAGAGGCCGGCGGCCAACAGCGACAACCGCATCACAGGGAAAAGCCGCTAGAGCACCACACTATATCACACCACGGCTGAAGTATGCAGTACCAACGAAACGAGTCATTCCTTTGTCCGATAGTGTAATGATTCACGGGAGCCTAAGAGCCTTAACAGCCACCTGACCGATTCACCCACAGTAAAACACAAAGCCACAACACGGGTGTCCAAACACCCCCGCCTGCCTCGCCCCACCACGGCCGACTCCAAGAATAGTGTGCAGACACATCGCCGATTCTGCCCATGAACACCGCTCACGCAGGTCTCGCACCCGCCGGCCCGCACTCACTTGTAGTCGACCTCGCCGTGTGCCGGCCCAGCCGTCGTCGCGCTTTGTTGGCGATCTCCGTCGAACTCTTCAGGTCCTCGGCTTTGATGATGGGCCGATGGTCCAGCCGGCGGGCGGTCGCGCGGCTCGCGGTACATGGGGCGCGCGCGGCCCCATCGGGGCCTGGGTAGTTGGGAGGGTAGCCGCCCGTCATCGGGGAAGCAACGGGTCGCGGCGGCATCATGTACGGCGGCATCACAGCCGCGGTAGGGTGGCGGCATGGGCCCCCGCCGGGACCCATCATGGGCGGGCCCATGGGTCGCATGGGCGGGGCCGCCGTGCCCAGCTGCGCAGGGTGGGTGTAGCGGGGCCGAGGCCGAGCTGGCCGAACCGATGCTCCACCCGGCCAGACGCGACACTGGCGCCGGCCGACTCCGGCCGCCGGCCGCCGCCCATGCGCTCCAGCTGCCCTCGGTGTGTGGGCCGCAGGCTGGGGCCGGGCCCGAACGGCCCGTCGGCCGCCGCAGCCGGCCAGCCGTCGGGCCCGAGCTCGGCTTCCTTCTGCGCAGCCCCATCGCCGCCGGCGTCGCCCGCCGCAGCGACGGAAACTCCTGCTGGAAGTACGGCGACTGGTGCGCCAAGTAGGAGGGCGCGGGCCCGGCGTCTGGCGGCCCGGAGGTCACGCTGCTCCAGGACTTTTCGGAGGAGGGCGGTGCGACGACACGAGCCGCCGCGACGGCGGCCGCGGCGGGCGGCTGTGGCGGCACAGCGGGCGGCGCGCCCGCCGCCGCCACAACCGTCGGCGGCGGCACAGCTGCAGCTGGCGCCGGCGTCGCCGCCGAGGCGCTCGGTGCGCTCGGCTTGGCTGGCGGCTCCGAGCCCGAACCGGGCTGATCCTTCGAAGAGCCCCATCCTTGACCTCCAGCTGGTACGAGGTTGATATTCGGGTCGTTTCCGCAGTTCTCCGATTTCAGGCTGCAAAACAAAACTTTATTTCAGTACCCCCAAACCGAAGACTTTCATAAAGACGAAAAACACCTAACATACGAAATTATCCAGCCACCCTTGCGAACAACAAAAACCTCCAACACAACAGCAACTCCCCCCAAAATTTCAGCAAATGTTAGCACTAATTCAGATTCACTACTTAAGCAAATCTTACCAAATCATTTCATACTCACGACAGCCATTGTTGTTTATTTGAGTTTTAGGACAACGCAACTGCTTGGTTATACGACGCCCAATTCTAGCATGATTCTCATCACAAATTCCAGCCCCCAAACCGACCCGAGCAATCCACGTCACGTAAGGTCACTACTAAGGGCAAGGCGGTGCCGCCATCGCCCAGCCGACCACCCTCCGACGGCGAGAGTCACCGCCTCGGCTCTCACCTAGGCAGGTTAGGAGGAGGCGGGATCCGGCGCGTCGACACAACTTTACCCAAACTCTGGTAGCCATGCTTGGTGATAGGGTTCCGCTGCTGGATCTCCGTCTTGCCCTGTAATGCCGTGACCGCAAGGCGCCGTGAGTGGGTATCGACAGAGCGTCGGGTGCGTTGGCAGCGTATATAACCTGTCATACCAGATCAAAGCTGCAGGACTGGTCACATGACTTACAATCTGCAACGGCGGTTTCGCTCAAGTAGAAACTGAGGCCAGCGAACTTAATCAAATCTTATATTGACACACTCTGGTATGACTTCGTGTGTTTTGGGCATTATACTTAATGATGATTATTATTTGGGATTTGGGGCGCACTGACTACGTTGGTCATATGGCGCCCATGGGGCATTATACTTACCTTAAAAAGATCGTTGATTTTAAACGCCGAGTATTTTGACTTGGAGTTCTTGTCCCCCTTGCCTTGGTTCACTGACACACCTGACATTATGCCCAGCGGCTCTCATTTAGCTTCTGCTTTCCTCAATGGAACGCCCCAGTGCCTGCAAAGAGCATACGACGTCAGTGGCAGGCTGGGGTTGAGCAGGAGCCGCCCGCGGCACCACGTGTGAACTCATCGGGCGTCAGCTGGAAGACGCTTGTCGGCACGCGACGGGGCTGGGCACCGACACCGGCAGTGAATGCACCCACGGACCGGCGGGGATTCCTCAGCTCGGCGGCTATACGGGTGACACGAGAGGTGAATGTTTACATTTTACACCTGCTCTTGTACGCACGCGCTTCGGTCAATTCCATGTAAGATATGCAATATCTGCTGTGTTGAAAATTTAATCTTCACATAGTTTTGGCTCGGTTTCACACAGGACATTGCCGGGCTGAGAAAGATACCGTCAATTTCATAAGTTGTGGTCGCGCGCCTTTCCGTGTAAATTACGTTCTTTTTTGGTAAAGGTTGCTGACCGTTTGTTTGTCAACTAGTTGGTACCCAAGCCAAATCGCCTGTCAAGCCTGTTTCGGCGTAAATCTGGTGTTTTATGAGTCACTTCCGTTCTTGGCTCTTGTGATCGTGATGTGTTAGTGTGTTCACGCATTTGTCCAGTGATTTGATGCACGGCCGAGCCAACAGCTTTTGGTAACGTGGCCTGACGAGGAACGGAAGATATTCCAGAGCCTTGTAAATTGTAAGATTGCAAGTTGCCAGCATCGCATCCGACCAACGCTGGCGCTGACATTTCCCAACAGTACAACCAATTGTCCATGATGATACCATTACCGGAGCGAACAGTCAGACATCATGCCCACACCGACTACCGCTGATTAGGGGATGGCACCCCACCGCCGTCGTCGGGGACTAGTCTCTGCTGAAGCGGTGCGCCTGTCGCCCACAATCAGCGCCGTTGCCGGGGGCCACCTTGGCCGCGGACGGTGCGGCGCCGGCCGACCGAAGCCGGCCCGCTCACAACGCCCAGAGAAGCTGCCAGAACTCTGGATAAACACGCACGGCGCCCGCAGACTCGGCTGGCTTACCTAGCGCAACACTGGCGCTCCACGGCGACCCGACGCCCGACCATACCCAATCACGTCGATGCGCCAATCCATGTGTAGACACAGGCACAGACAGCGCGCACGCGCGGTGTCGAGTGAAAATTGATCGAAACAACACGTACTAATGCATACACAAGTAACAATAAATATTTCCAGATGTTTGAGCCTACATGTTCATTCTTTACTATGCATCGATAAAGATCAATACTAAAACGATGGTGAAGATATCCTGGCAAACGAGCAATGAGTAGAAGGCAGTCCAACCCCAACAACCTTGCAGCAATAAAGCTTAAAACCCGTTTCCTCCACCTGTCTTTTACCCGAAGCCACCTGATCCTGCCTTAAACTTTTCCCGGTTTTCACCATCATGCTGCACCGAAGTCGCGCGGAGCGGAAAGTCAGTAGAGCGTGGATAACCCAAAAACAATAGCTGGAAGACAATGTCACACTTCCTCTGCCCATTCACCCCAGGTAGTTGCCCAAGCCCCCTGTCAGTCATTTCTGCATACACAGCTTGAAAATTTGTAACGGTTCCACACCACCAAGGAGAACACGTCTCAGCAAACGGAGCGAGCACAAGAACTTCGTCCCATCACGAAAAACGTACCTGAGAGTACATTTGAGGGCTTAACGCGACGAGTCACAAAGCCTATGACAAATACTGTCTGCGCACCGTCGATAAAGAGCCCGTCTCCACGCGCTGGGCAGATCTCGGGCCGAGCCGTGGACGGCGCGGGGCCGTCCCGGGCGAGAACGCTGCCGGCGGCGGCCGACGACGACGGACAGTTGCGCTTGGTCGGGCCGGCTCACACGAGAACCATATCGGCCCCGACCGCAGGCGGCGCCCGGCCGGCGGTGGCCGCAGCCGTGGGCCAGGGCGGCCGCGCCCGACACACCGCCGTCAGGGAGCGGCTGCAGTCGGCAGTCCGCTTTCGCCACGCGCCAGGCCACCGAACCGCCCAGAGCCGACGCGAACGGCTCAGGTACAGTCGCCTGGCCGCCGACACCTCATACTTCTGATTATCAGGTCGTCACAAACCTGCTATCGCAGCGGCATGGCATGAGACTACCCGAGGCGGCCGTGACCCACGACCGGCTCAACGGACGGCAGGAGCCTTCTGTTTACCCGAGCTCCAGAAGTGGTGGGACGGCGCTAACCGCCCTTCGATTACTCAGTAATACAGCAATAAGGGAAAACAGCGAACCCTCTGGCAAAGATGTGAACAAGTTCAATCGGCGAGCGTTCAGACCAGCTTGGCCAGCGACCTCGAAAATGAGATCCTGCCAAAGACCCAGAGCGTTAGACTACACTCCCCAGCAAGATCAACGATCTCGGCGGAGTCCACATTGAAGACTTATCAATGGTGGCACAGCCGTCAGCTGCTCAGCGTCATATTTCTATACAAATGATCAAGCGCACACTTACACCATAAATTGAACTGACCTGAAAGCCCTCTAATTCTACGTTTTTTCTGTAGTTCCGGTGACACCAAGAAAAGTGAACAAATTCTGCCCGACTAGGGAGGTTCACATTGTAATGCAAGACGCGTCGCCGCCATGGTGGCCGGCTTTCGATCCGGCAATAGTCGACAAAAACCTACCGTAGCGGTTAGGACAGGACCGTGACGCGATACAGACGGTCTTTGAAGAAAAAGGCGAATGGAAAGCAGCCATTTGAACTCGATGCAGCGCCTGTCCCGGTTTTATATCATTGTCTGACAACTTAATGTCTATTGTTATCATTTATGCCAAGACCTTTAGTACCACAGGGATGTGACTAGACAAAAGTGGGCAATTGTCTGCATCAAGGAGAAATGAGGACAATGCTTAAAAATGCAAGGAAACATATGTCATACACAAACACACACAAACACAACATATACATAGATAAACACACACATATATACATATATATATATATATATATGATTTAAGGATGGCATACATATCTAGCAATGACTGATGCCTTAGATAACAATTTTTTTGTTGGAAATCACATCCCCCATGATCAGAAAAATTCGAGAATGGTATCTATCTCACTTTGTAGCATTGGCCCAAAATTATTATTGGTCCTGGAAACTTCATCAAAGCTAGCCACAATTAAACAAACAAGAATTATGATGGATTTGTGGTCAGATCTTATCAAAGTTACATGTTGAAATGTATGTTGTGCAAAACAAGTCCATTGGTTATATGACGTGTTTGCCATCGTGCCCAGTGCTAGTGACTGCCTTGTATAATGACGAGCGCTGGATGGTCTTTGTCCTGTACAATCGTTCACCTCACTGGCATGTTTGAATGCTAGAGGCTGCCCATCCGATAGCTACATGCTCCGCACATACACCTGCTGTTGATTGAAAAGCTTCAAGAACTTTTAGTGCTGCGTTTTGGGTGACCTTAGCCTTAGCTTAGCAGTATGGTGGATTTCCCCATCAATTCACATCAAGTTGAAGTTTCAAGACCAGCTTTGGCGCACCATCCTGTACATTGACTGTCATTTGCCTCCTTATTGTAGTCAAAGCATGGGCAATGCACAGGTTTGATCAGCGCGTGCAGTTGTCGATGGGTTCGTTGACTGCAGTAACCATTCTCATTGCCTTATTTCTTGGTAGTTACTGGGTTTGAAGGGCACATCAAGTACAATGGTCATTTGTGCTGATGAGGGATCCCTGGACATGTTGTTTATCAGAAAGTTAGACATTCTCTGAATTTATATAAGACATATTGTAGTTGCTGTTGACAAGAATGTCTCTGATATGTTCACCTCCTAATGTATGAGTGGTCACATCTCAGCATGTTCCAGTGTTGTATGTATGCATGGCCAGATCACACTTTCTTGACATGCTTGGGCACTCACCAATAAACTTGTCTGTTTTACAGCTTTGGAAAACCAACACCCAAATTTTAAAAAAAATATGCAGACATACCTTTCATAACCCAAAACTGGCTATCAAAAGCCTGAATGTAGCAGGTAGACTGAATGCAATGTAGTATCCTAACAAGTCATCAATTTTTCAAGAAAACATGTGTTTGATGATCTTTGTATGGCTGACATATGCATAGCAAGACATATACACACTTTGCATAGCAAGACATATACACTGAAAAAATGGACAGCCCTACACATGAATACATGCCATCAAAGCAATTTCAACAGCATTGTACATGGCCCATAGGCACCACCTTCCCAATTGCATTGAGATCAGTGGGCACCTGAGTGATGGCTGATTACTCTTGCTTGCATCCACTAAGGAGGGCTACAGTTAAATGACACACTGTTATGCAGATTTATACTACAAAAGCTTTCAGTATGGGTGCACACAAAATGCCAACCACATTTGGCATGTTCATGCCACATCACAAGTCCATGATTGACACAGAATGTAAACATGAACATGCTACTACTACCTACCTCTATACCAAACAACTACTACTACTAACCAACTAACTACCAACCACTGTGTTAAAATTTGACCACATCAAACTCTGAGCATATATCCAGATTTGCATTAAAGATACACAGTTCTGATGCCACAAAGGAAGTATCACCATAAGGTTCATGGGGTTGCCAGGGGGTCACCACTCAGTGGGTCATTAGGGAAAGCCTGTATGGTGCACAACAAATCTCTTGCTTTTGTTAGCATGGAAACAAAACTGTCTATATGCTGCTGATTTATCAAAATCTTCATTGGCATACCAAGTGGATAGCAGCTTGATTGCCCTTAGGCAAACCAAAAAGAAAATCAGGTTACAGAAAATCATGCCTGAGGTGACAAGACCATAACATTCTGTTTCTAGAAAAAGCTGTTGATACCTCAGATGAAAATTATGTAACTTCAGTACACAGAAACAGTAAAACCCGCAGCTGCTTCCCAGTGAATACTGACAGCAACATTCAGCTCATAATTCATTGCATCAGCTAAGCAAACCCAAAAAGCAAAACTAAAGGTGCAGGGAGCTGTTTACATCCAGGGAGACCCAACAAGCAACTGAAAGACATGCAGCAGACTGTAGCAACGGGATGGGCAGTCACTGGCGCCTATACGTAAGGTGGACAATTGGATCAGATAAAAACCATCCCTGTAAAGACCACAGATACAGGCCATCCAAGTAAAGACTATCTTGGCATTCATCCTCATACAAAGCACCCACAAATTCTGTGTGGGTAACATGTGTTTCCAATAGATATTTCTCAAAAACAAATTATCCATTTTCAGCAACACACATGTAGGCATGAAACTCTGATCTCAAAATACCCACACTTTGATCTGACACCACCATAAACATTTTGGGTGTTGTTAATAAGCATAAATGTGCAGTTGTGGTCTGAAAATACATCCGACCATGACAGAAATGACATTTTCCTCAATATCTAATATCTGCCTTTCTGAACAAGAATGATCTGCATCAAAAATGCCTACAAAGCATGTTATGTAAGATATAGATAGGAGTAGGCAGTTCAGACTAAGTTCTTGGATACTGTCCGTAGCTAAGATTTGTGTTTAGTAGTTGGTTAACCCTATTCTGGCCTTGCAATCAAGTAAGTCATCAGAAATCTACATAACAAATTAGAAGTGCAACAAAAAATTGTTAAAGAAAGCACCATTCCCAAGATGGTAATAAAATATTACTTTTCATTGCACTGTTTCCAAAAGCTTTATGTGCAGTTCTTATGACAAAGACATTATAGTTAGGACATCTTGCATCCATGATGATGAACACCAACACTTTCTTGTCACTGCCCATGCAACCTGACAATGATCAACTGCAGCTTTCCATACAAGACTTTATAATGTTTCCATGCCAATGAAAACTGATCCTTTACCTTACAATTAGTCAAAAGAGGTCTCAGATAGACACCACATTAACATATACCTAATACACTTCTAAAGGAAAACCATGATAAAAGAAATGGAATACATAATAACAGGAAACCAAAGCAACTGTTGCCTGCACAATTTGGGTCACAGCTAACAGAAAGAGAAAAACTGTGCCCAATAATTTGTGAATAGATGCAAAACTGATTTATAGAAGCCTCGGTAGCTTCTGAATGGATATATTCGACCTTGTGCTGGTTCTATGCACTAGCTTCCTTTTCACAAACCAAAGCAATTGTATCTTGCATAATTTGGGTCACAGCTAATAGAAAAGGAAAAATCATGCCCAGGACTTCTGGAATAGTGGCAAAACTGATCACAAAACAGGTCAAAATCTTGAGAACTCTTGCTAGCTTCTGAAAATATATGTTTTGCTTGGTAATGGCCCTATGCACTAGCTTTCGTTTCACATGACATTGAATATGCCAATGGGGACCTTCCTGCCTTGAAGACATGCAAGGTGTGCCTGCATGCCTTTTTATATGCCTTCATCTTTAACCAGGTTGGAAAATAAACCAAGAACCTTGGGCTCATATATCTTAATTCCTAATCTTCTTTTAATACTCATTCAGCCAAGGCAGGGAAGTCCTAATCAAAAAACATATGTCCAAAGACCATCTACACAAGCTCATCATGTGCACTTTAAATTATCTAGCCTGGTTAGGGAAAACAGCCTGACCCCACCTAAAAGTCACATATAAAAATTGCACTTTGCTCTAAACAGCTTATTCAACTGGGGAAATAGTTAAACCAACTGTTCTTTTATTCTATCATCACCATAAGAAGTTTGTCATTCACATTAAAAAAATCAAAGAAAATGCCTGACAGTTCTTTCTAACAAGTACCATACAAAGACACACCTCAGTTGGTAGTCACAGCTGAGCATGGTGCAAAAAGATGATCCACCCCAACCTAAACTCAAACTGTCTGATCCTTCCCAAGCACTGGCTATTGTAGCTGACAATACTCAATGTTTGCAGTGCTGAACATCATTCCAGATAATTTCCAGGCAGCCATGTACACACTGGAGCTCTCAGAGGGCAGGTAAGTGCTGAGAAGCCGGGGCGTCATTGCTACGCCGTAATGTTCGACGACGGCGTAGGATGCATTTCAAGCAATTTGCACACATAACATCTACAAAACAGAATCATTCGGACTACCCCAATCCAAGTCGATCAATATGAACTAATTCAGCTCAACCGAGGCTCATTTCGGCATCAAGCTGCAATTTGACGGCATGCCGAGGCGACTTCCAAAGGGTTATTGATCCCACCCGGTCGTCGACTCCCCCAAGCGCGGAAGGACCCGAAAGTTTTCCAACTTACCGGGTGCTGTTCCAGTTGCAAATGACAAAGAAAAGGAGAATATCCTTTTTTCGGCTCCCAGTTCCCACCC